TGTTGGCTGAGCTTTAACGTCTCGTTTCCTGTAACGGTCGCTCAGCTCTGCACTTCTTGGGAACGGCAGCAGTTATTCTCGGGGGACGGTACTGTAGTGAGAAAGGCTGGAACTTTGCTTTAGAGCGTCTCCTGTATTCTCGGACCGTCGTCCTGATGTCCTTGTGACGCGATCGTATTGATCGATCCGTTGCGCCGTGTTTGGTTGCTGTGTGTTTTATTAGTGACGGGCTGCGGAAACTCCGTAATCCCTCAGCGCCTCTCACTGTTTCATGCTTCTTACACTTTTCCGTTTATTCCTGCAATTTTCTACTCTTTTACTGGAAATTTCCTTGCAAAATTTTCCTCTCCACAAATGTTTAGCCATTGAAATTATTTATTCATAGCGCTGAAGGTAAAGACATTTCGCCCTCCCACACAGAAATTAGCAATGGATGGAGTTATTGAGCCTTGCGCAAGGCCGCACTGCCTCATTATAAGACATTCGCGTTCCTTGTACCAACCTCCGCAGTCAGCAGCGCTCGACTCCGGGAATTCGCAATTCTCCGCTCTCCTATGCCCCGCACTTCTAACTTGTGAATCGCTGACATAAGCTCATGCTTCTCCCTACAAATGACGGCATTCATCAATCATTCGTTGTCCCTCATCTCGCCTTCTCTCCCTCTCTTTTGCACGCCTGATTGAGCTTTTCTTCTGTGATTTTTCCTCTCTTCCAACTTGCCATCTCTTGTCAATTTAGGTTTTACGACTGTCTGCAGTCTAGGCTTTTACAGCCAAAAAGCATTGTTGTTAACACGTTTCCCAAGGCTGAATCCGAAAGAATCTCTTTTTTCCTCTTCGATCTCAATTAATCTCATCTTAAGCCTATTCTAGGACCAACGGACACGAACACCGAGACACTGTCGCCACCCTGCTGTGACACAGGGCTCTCGAGTCCTGACGTTGATGTTCTCGTCAAAATGGAACAGCTCAATAGGTTGGATTTCAATTCGATTAAGTTTTCCTTCAGTATTTATTGCAGAGGTTTATAAGTCTTCAACCCTTGCTAGCATCTTCCTCTCCTAAATTGTCAGTACTTATTTTGTTCTGTCAGCTCTCATTTTTCTGATCAATGCCATTTTACTAACATGTTCTGTGAGGCTTTTTTTTTCTACGGGAGCAGTAAAATTCGTTTTTCCTCCTTGCTTCCATCCCATTACTTTTTATGAATTCGCTCTCCTATAAATAGCGCTTCTTTTCCTAGATTAATTCAAATTAATTAGAAGGTGCCTGAATCTTATTTTAAAACTATCACTAATACCTTTGAAAAATACATTTTTCATGAGAACTTCTACCTTCAAGCTGTTATACTGATGCATTACTTCGTTTCGAATTCATCTAAGAGTTTCTCGGCGCCCAAATATCTCTTTTGTCTTCCCGTTCAAATCGCTGGGGAATCATTCTTGCTATAAGCATCTCGCACTAGGAGTCAACTTTTATGACCTTATTTGTGGAACTTTCGGAACTACTCAGGTCAATCTGTGTTTGCTTTCATGAAACTATAAATGAGATAAGCAGTGAATCACATCATGTCTTGTCATCGTATCCGGTGCTTTTTAGGTCAAATGAGGAGGATACGAGAAGTTTGACATCTCGAAAAAGTGGCTCCAGCGGAAGTCCGAAGGGACATGAGCAGAGCCTGGCAGAAGATGATGAAGAGGACCTTTGGAAAGTATGGGGTGATGTGATTAGCAAATGGGAAGTCAAGGTCAAAGAGAATCCCACTTCTATTAAGGTTCATTTTTCAAATAACATTTTTATCTATTTAAAACAATGGACCATGTCCTTTATGTAGAAATATATTTATTTCTTCAAAAGCTAGCAACATATCCCTACATAGTGAATTTGTTTCGTCCTCTCTATAGAGAAATGTTCTTATAAGAGTAAATTCAATTAGTTTCAGACATTAGTTAAACGCGGTATTCCACAGCATTTCCGCACTATTGCTTGGCAACTATTATCAAATGCATCAGTTTCTTCAATCCATGAAGTCTACGCGGATTATATGCGACAGTCATCTGTCTATGAAAAAGTAAGTTTTCAGCTCTGTATGTATATTTTCAGCCCACTTTCTCTTGCATGTCAATGATTTTTCTACATAGAATTTTGTCACATCCCTTCTTATTTGTGTTTTAGCGCTCTGAATCCTTCAATCATCTCGTTCTATCTTCACTTCTCCTCTCTAACTATTCACTTTCGAGCTGTTTGCACGTTTTGGATCTCATTAATTATTCTATTGTAGAATGTATTAACTTCGAATCGATAGATCCCATTAGCAACATTACATTCGAAACATTTATGTTGCTTTTTTCACCATGCATTTACATAGCATCCATCGTAGAATGCAGCGTAAATGCTTGTCATGCAATGTGTCAGCACTGGAGTGCTGATGTGGAATTAAATATTTTGGAGGCAAAATTCGATAGGCATCTTTTTTATTTAGTAACGATAGTAGCATCTTTCAAAATGTTTTCTGAAGTTATGTTAAGTTGAGATCTTTGCTCATTGTCATCCTGTACTGAAACCACTCAGTGCACTTGCTTCACT